TTTAACTATCTAGGATAGTTGATTCAAGAAAGCAGGAGGATTTTTAAAAACCTAAATCTGTTTTTTTTTCAACATCTGTTCTAAATTTTTTTAAATGGTAGTTTTCATCTTCGTTCTATTAGCTGATTAACTCCTCTAACACTAGCTACATCCTAAATTTTGATTTTTTTCTGGTAGAAGAATCCACAATTATGCATTTAAAATGTTAAATAAACCCACATTTCTGAGATTTTGGATTATTTTGACATTTTATAATTTCCCAAACCTTCCTCCAGCATTCTCATGGAGTTTTCTCTTTCATATGCATTGACTACTCCAAGGCATGATTGCTGAGAACTTTGCATAGGCTCTTGAAGCCTAGCTGACCTCCAGTGGATCTTGGAAGTTCTGCAAAGAAAATGCTCATATCCCCAGACAAGGCCATGCCTTTAAACTTTCTGTTAATTTCTCATACTCTAAATTTTGGTCAGTTGTATTCGTTTGTTTTTATTTCTTCCTGTATGAATGTTGTAATCTGTCTTATCTTCATCAGTTGGCTCCGCAGTTAAAATGGACCCCGTAGTATCAGCTTTGTCTGTTTAGAAGACAACCACAAATTCTCAACGGAGGCTTACTTTATAGTAAATAGCATTTATTAGTTTGGCATTACTTGGAAAGCTCTGCTAAACTGAAAGCATCTCATTCACATGTCCAAGGTCAGTTGATTGTCACATGAAGTAGGCTGTTCTCAACTGGAGGAATTAAATAACAAGAGTCTCTGCTTCTCTCTCTCTGGGCACTTATCCTCCAGCAGAGTAGCACAGACTCTTTTCATGGGGTCAATGCATCAAGGAAATACTTGAAGTCTAGGATTAGAACTAGAAGACATTTGCTTTCCCTGTTCCATTGGCCAAAGTAAGGTACTTGACAAGACACACCACAAGGAATACACAAAGTCTGTGAAAATAGAGAAGAAGCCAATAAATAGGTTTCTTATCTATCTTCCCTATATCTTCCCTAGGCACTTAGGCAGCAAACTCGGGGGTATTCAGGGGTTCTTCCAGGGCTCTGTAAAGAATATGAATGCAAATCCTTCTATGGAGAAGAAGTAGGAAGAGTGAGGAGAATCTTTTGAGTTTCTTTCAAGAGGTTTGATATCATTCAGGGATCAAATCATCTCTTTGCTTTATTTAACATTTGCATGTGCAATAATATATTATCAGATATTGTCCTAGCAATAGCAAATAACCATACATAATGAAAGAATATTGAGCAATCTGTGGCTCCCCTATGCCCCAGTATTTTCCAAAGTTGATGCTATTAGGTTCTGAGTCATGTTAAATTAAGCTTCTGAATTGTTTCCCTTTTATCTAACCATGTTCATGAATGATATGAGGGCATGCTATTTTCATAATATTTTTGATAGACATAGGTAAGTGGCTTAATATTTATGCTTTTTCTCTTACTTTGAGGTGTGTAAGTTGCCTTAAATTTGGCTATGATTTGTAACATATAACACACACATGTGCACATACCTATATAATGTACACATGTAGACAAATATCATATCCACATGTATATATTATACAGTGGTGCCTCGGCTAACGAACTTAATTTGTTCCACGATTCTCAGGAAGATGGCCACAATCATGTACATCTCCCTAGATGAAGTCACAAATGAAAGCAAAATTTTACCAACTGCTTCTGTTTTTGAACCTAATTAAAGTGTTCGCAAACAGAAGCATTTGTGAACCAAGGTATTACTGTACACAGATATAATATATATTTATACATGTATATCTGTTCACATGTAAGTGTGTGTAAATTTTAAATATATATATACACACACATATATACATGTACAAGTATGTATATGTGTGTGTATATTTATAAAACACGTGCAAGATCTTGTTGATCTCTTCTTTTTTTGTACCGGGCACCCAACTCAGGACCTTCTGCTTTCGAGGTCTTGTTCATCTCTTAAAGAGAGAGGTCATCTGTTCAGCAGAGTTCTCCAAAATTATTCACCTAATGAATGAATCACCTCTTAAATTGATAATCTATCACCACCTGCCTCACAAGCACAAGGACCTGGGTTCGATCCCCAGTGCCACAAAAAAAATTGATAATTCATGCTTATTTTGACCAAACTTTATTGTTCAATTTTAATATCATATAGCTTTTTGTTCAAGAGGTACTAGTTCTATAAGTTCTTTAATTAAACATTCTGATTGCCTTTTTAAAACTATAAGATGAATAGTAACCATATTTATATATTTATATATGTAAAGTATTAGTGTGGTATATTGCATTTATTAATTTGTGCATGTTGAACCATCCTTGCATCCCTGGGATGAATCCTACTCGGTCATGGCGTATAATCTTCTTGATGATTTTCTGCATTCTAGTTTCCATTATCTCACTGAAGATTTTTATATTTATGTTTGTTAAGGAGATTAGCCTGTATCTCCTTTTTTTTTTTTTTTTTTTTTGGTTGGATCTTTCTCTGGTTTTGGTATCCTTGCTTCCAGGAATGAGTTTGGGAATATTTCTTCCATTTCAATTTCATTAAAGAGCTTTAGAAATAGTGGCATTACATCTACTCTAATGTTCTTGTAGAATTCAGCAGTGAATCCCTCATGACTTGGGCTTTTCTTTGTTGATAAAGTTTTAAGTACTTCTTCAATTTTATTGACTGATATTGGATATTTTACAATTTTTATGTCTTCTTGATTCAGCTTTGTTAATTCATACGTGTCTAGGAATGTGTCTATTTCTTCTGTGTTTTCCATCTTATTAGAGGTATTTGGAATATTGTTAGGCACCAAATAAGTTTGAAGGGAAAAAAAAATAGAAAGAGCAGAAGAAAGAACATGGACCGCAAAGGTACCTTCAACACTTACACCAAAATGCCCCTAAGCTCATTTGTGCACAGATAGTGGCAGAGTGGATGAACTGGAAGGGCAGGTGGAGACAACAGGCCTGGAGTCTGTGGCTTGGCATAGGCAGAAATGAGCTTGCAAAAGACATGTACGACAGCATAGATTCACAAAATAAAAACAGACATTGAAATCTGAGTGAAAGTTTGAGGATGGACACTGACTGAGATCACAGATTAAACAAAATTCCCTATTTTAAGGAGAAAAGATGGGGATCTGAAGTGAACAGCAGAAATCAGGATAACAAGAGTATCACTGAGGCAACACTTTGGAGACTTGAATAGAAAGAAAACCCAGGATCTAGCAATGTTGAACACCGTGAGAATGGCTACATTAATTCACATACAAACCAATGAATGTATTGTCGTTATGCTTATTATACAGTAAATTATTGTACTATGCTTTCTTTGGTATCAGTGATTACCATGAGTGCTGAGAAGAACAACAAAAACATAAAACAAATCCTGTCGTCCCAAATGTTTTGTTTATTGTCTTGCTTCCTACTTCTACCATTTATCATTTCACAAAGGAAGGAGTTGAAGCTGAAGAAATACATGTATCTATGTAAGATCAAGAAACTCTAATAATCCTGAATTCACATCCCTCAGCCTACCTGTTCTTTAAATTGCAAAATGAATAGGTTAAGATAGGGACATGGTACAAAAGCAAAAGGGACTACCCTCTCAGTTCAGTGTTACTATACTGGAAAGACAGGCTGGAAGGACCACAGAAGAGGATAAGATAGAATAAAGCTTGTGAAAGAGCAATAAGGAGAAGAGCAGACAGACTGAGAAAGTGAAAGCAATCATCCGAGGTCACATACCCTGAGTTTAAACACCATTTAGGCTTCTTTAATGAGTGTCTCAAACAAGATAGGGAAGTCTTCGGGCTCTCCTTCAACATAGTTAGAATTCAAGGACCTCCCACAGGCTAATATAACTCTGGCAAGCAGAAGAGAGCATGAGCTGTTCAGCTGAACAGCAAATGTAACAAATACAGAGGAAACAAAAATGAAAGGTACAAGTATACTTACATCTTTGGAGAAGAGGCAAGGCTTGGATATTTGCATCCTGTAGTGCTGTACTTTGTTGAGACTTTCTTCTTTTCTTTCTTCTTTGTGGACATTTCCTGGAGAAGAAAGTGTTAAAGAGAAGAACATTCTTAAGCACTTCCTTTTCTAGAAGAAATAGTCATTTTAATGAGGACTCTTGAAAGGTAACATTTTTGTATGTGAAGCACCAAAACAAACCGTTCTGTGAAGTGTTTTTGTTGAAATGTCTTCCATGACCAGTTAAGAAGAAGGAAATATGAGGGTAAGTGCCATTTGTCAGGGCACCTTGTCTACAAATGGACAAGCAGTAGCAGAGATGAGATTGAGTGCACATCTATTCCAGGACAGAGAGTTGAAAGGAGAAAAAAAAGGAGGACATGCTGATGTTGTTAAGAGCAAACCTTGGTGACACTGAATGCAAATTGTGAGAAGCTGACTGCTGTTTGAGGCAGAGATAGATGCACTCATGGTATGCACACCAGATGTACGCCTGGTCATTATCTGCCACGAGGAGCATTAGGAGCCTTGGTTACCTCACTTAACCTCATGTATCAAAACGTCCCATCCCCATTCCATGGAAATAACAGAATCTCACATGAGTTGCTGTTCAATATAGGATGTTCTTGGGCTGGGGACTTTGCTCAGAGGCACTGTGCCTGCCTGGAAAGCACAAGGTCCTGAGTTCCATCCCTGGTACCAAAAAAAAAAAAAAAATATGTATATATATATATACACACACACACACACACACACACACACATATGACTCTCTCATACTAAATCTCTTTCTACAGTGCCATCTGCACTTTAAAGACTGTTTCATTTCTAAATAAGTACAGCTACAAAAATTTAAGTAGATGAAGTATGTGCAAAGTTCTTTTATGGAATGATAGACACTACAACACTTAAAAAGTGTGTATATGTACGTGTGTGGGTGTGGGTGTGTGTTTCTCTTTCAAAGGCTTCCCATCTTTCAGTATTCCCTGAAAAGACCTAAGTGCTTTGAGTTATTTTATTTTTTTCCTGAATCCTAGATATTTGTGGTAGGAGAGCTGTACTGTTTTAAACCAATTCAGGGAAAAAGGATGAATTTTATATCAGTAACACATTCGCAATAATGAATTTCAATTTTCAAAGCATATTCATGTCATGATAACTTCTATTATTTTTAAGCTATATTGCAAAGTTTTGGGAAAAATTATTGCAGAATTCAGAGCCTGTCCCTTCTACTTACTCTATGTCCTTGGGAAATGGTCACATTTCTATATGCCTAAGTAGAATATGTACATTACCTTCTGAAAAATTTATTTCCCATGGAGTTCTGTGCCGTCGATGAGGCTCATTGAGGAATTAAGTTCACATATAATTGGGGGCCTGTAAAACTCAGTCTGGGACATCACAGCACTTGCCATATAGTGTAAAATTGCAATGTGACATTCATATGTGACAGTCATTGCAATAGCGTTGCCTAATTTTAAACAATAAGTGGTGCAGTGCACCTATGTTAGCATGGCAGGAAAATTTATAATTTTTACAGTGAATTCATTGCAATAATAATAATTGTATGTTTGAGAAATTACCCTTCCTTTAAGTCGTTTGCACTGCTGATTGTTCCAGGTTATTGAAGTTTTAAATTTTTTGCATTTGTGTAAATGACGAAGTCTGAACTCCTTATTGCATGATTAAAAGTTTATCACCCTCTGTCTCCTCAATTATGTCCATATAGTTTATATTCAGAATTTTCTTAACAAATTTAATTTGCCATCCAGGCTATTTACCTCAAATAATACGCTTGCAGAACAATGATACTATTTCTAGTTTCCATTCCAGAAATAGTCTGCTAATTAATTTGAAAAGCAATTAATCTTCCCTAAAATTTATAATTGTTTTCTTGAAAAATTCAGCCAAGTGAGTTTTTCCCTTTTGGATTAAATATGGGCCTCAGTAGATTTTTCTGTCTGCTGAGGTTATGAAAAACACTGCGTGTTTGCATATATACAGAATTTTCACCAGGATTAAAGTTCTCTCACTTGCAGCGGGCAGCTGGAGTGCTCTAAGTGCTGTAACAAGGATTTATTATGAAAGTCATTTCCCAGGACCCATCACCCCCAAAAGTAGTTTCATTGACCTTTTTCTATGTATATTTCCTGCCTTAGCTAAAGATGTTTATTACAACACAGGATTATTTGGAGTAAACTCATTCCTAGGTCAAGGTGCAAAACTTATGTAGATTTGGGTATGAATTTCCTTTGGCTATTATAATTCACAAATTTATTGGCTTAAAATAATATCAATTTATTATCTCATAGTCCGGGAGCTTGAATGTCAGATGTTAGTTTCACTGAGCTGAAGTCAAGGTGGGCCCTGCTTTCCTTCTGGAAGCTGGAGGAAAGAATCCTACTTTTAGCTTCCAGAAGATTCTTGCATTTGTCAGCTAATGGGCATTTTTCTTTCTTCCAAGCTCAGAGCATACCTTCCCTTCTCTCTGACATCTGCGTTCATCTTCACATTTCTGATTTTAATAATTATAGAATTATTCTTGTGCTTCTTAACTACATGTACAAAGTTTCTTAACCTAGACTGTAAATATAAAAAATGACATGTCATTCATTTATTTTTCACTCACTAGAAATTGACCATTATGCTGATTTCTACAGGTCAGAGGGAGAATATTTTAGGCCTTGTGGGCCAGATGGTTTTTGTAGCAATTACTGAACTTAGTAAAAGGGGATTCATATATAAATGAGTGTGGGTAAATTCCAGTAAGAATCCAATCCTAAAAACAAACAATCATCAAAATGTTGTCCAAAGGCTATAGTTTTACAAATCCCAATCTAGACACATAGTACCTAGTATAGGTACTCCTAAAAGATAGTTCTTAAAATTAAACAAATTAATAAAAAAATGAACAAAGGTTTAGAGGATGTCCTTACATATTAGGGGGGTTGGTATTTTAAGGAAAAGTTCATAATAAGAAAGAATTTTCCTCACTTGTTCTGTACATAACTCCTAAATCCTGACCTCAGAGCTCAATAGAGGTTAACCTAGCATGAAAGAAATTTGTGCAGCCCTTTTTACCTCCTCAAAACAAAATAGAGCCTCCGTTTCATGCAAAGTAGAACAACTCTGTCACTCGTGCTAATCATCTTTTGATCCTTGCCATGTGAATAGATTCATGATCTGACATTTGCTATTCTAGTCACAATAGCTCTTGTCTCAGGAATTCAATTTTCAGTGTCTCATGAATTTAATACCTACTCTATTATCAGAAGATTTGTAATAACTTATACAGCTGAACCTTTTCCAAATTTCCTGTTCATCTTAACCTTTCCACTCTTCCATCTGGGTACAGAAGATGGCCTTGTGAAAAATCAGGCTTATTCAACATACTTACATCAAGCACCACTGTGTGCCACAGCTCCAGTGTGTCCAGGGCCCACGATCTGAAATGAGTCAGAGAGCTGACAGTTTCAGCTAGACCGAGACAAAAAAATACGAAGCAATAAGCAAAGACCACAGATAGGATCTGAGCTCTTTGAGGAACTGGTTCAGTTTAAAGCATTGTTATCTGCTTTCCCCCTGAAACACAGAGGTTGTTTTTAATCACAGGAACACTATCTAACAGTGAGTAGCAAACTCCCTTCTCCTTTTTCAAATCTGTAATTCCCTTGGATGAACAGCTAGGTCTGAGAGTTCATTTTGAGAGACAACCCATTTCTCAGCCATGTTCCAGCAAGATTTACCTTGAGTGCATGGAGCCTACAGAGATCCTCTGACTCCTTGGTCATTTTCAGTTTTCTTCTGGGTCACAATGCGCCTTATCAGTCAGAGGTTACAAAGAGAAGTACACATCTGAATTTCCAGGAAAAGCTCAGCTGAGGAAGGTCAAGGATTTCATGTACATAGAGGTCAAATTGCTTTTTCAATCCCATAGAATAAGCTCTTAATCTCTCGGCAGTATTTTCTAGTTTGTCTACTGCAATATCACTTTAGCAAGGGAATACTTTAAAAATAAATGAACTACAAATTAAAATAAATAAAATGAATAGTTTTAGAGTAAATATACTTAATTTCAAATTTACGTTAACTTCTTATACAAAGAATACACCCATTAATGTCTAACAATTTGTTTTATCTTGGTTAGATACGAAAAGGAAATCCAAGTTCATACAGAGTAGATTGATAGTACACTTTTAAAAATAATTTACAGTGCAATTTTAAGGTACATTTTTACAAGCACTCTAATCTAAAAGCTCATAATGAATACTATAAAAGGAAGAAAACTCTCTCGTTTGCTCCTTCTGTCCCTCTTTCCTCCCTTCCTTCCTTCCTTCCTTCCTTCCATTTTCTCCACTTCCTTCCATTTTGTTCTTCTTTGTCTTTATTTTCTTTACTTTCTTCCCTTGATCCCTCTTTACTTTTTTCTGTCTTTGATTTAACATACCTTTTTGGATTGCCTACTAGAAATTCAAAGCAGGATTACCATCATTTCACATTTTACAACTATTGGTAAAATTTATAAAAAATAGAAATCAGATAGGACCCCCTAAGACCTAGAGTGAAGCCCTGAATGTAGGTACTGAGCTACTGCCAAGGATCACTGCATATTTACTTGCTCTTGTGTAACTGACTCTGAGGACAGGAACCAAACAATCACTAGGCGCAAGTGCTGAGACCTCCTCAGCACTTGATTGAGCATGACACACTTTCACTAGAGCACTGTGCTCACTCACATAATTGTATGTCAACAGAATGGCCCATGAATAAATTGAAAAATAAAGAAAAGTGCAGAGCAATAATTTGAGAAACGGGAAACACCTTTAAAATGTTTAAATAGAAGCACACAGTGATAGATGTCGTTTTATGCTGGAAGTCTGACACATGCTCTAACATAATTAAAACTAATACAAAGTGAATTCCTCAGTGGTTACTATGTTAAAATATTGGCAATAAATATGCCCCTTGATTTTCAATACATTTCATACTAAATATTATAGTGAATTAATTATTTCAGTCATCTTATTTTTTTATACATAAGTGAGCCAGCTGCATTCATTTTCCTGGGACTGAGGAATGAGTTGGTTCCAAGGACATGGACCTTTTAGTGATAAAAATAAAAATTTTTTGGCAAACTGCAATGGATTGGTTGCTATGGTTATACCTCTGAATTACGTAATTCCACAAACAAGAGGGCTTTTGTTTTTGTTTTCCTTTTTTGTTTTGTTTTACTGTGTTGAGTTCTATGTCCTTATTAAGGATATCGTGAACTGCACAAGCTCAAATAGTCAGGTGGGTTTCACTGTGGTGATTTATTATCATCTCAAGAAAGTTTTAAATGTATCCTTGGTGAAGTCTACCCAGAACAAACTGCATCAATGTCAATATACTTTCAGGGCTTCCAGGTGGCTCTAATAGGTATCAGAGCTGAGCAGTAGTGCTCCTGGGATCCACTGAACAACACTAGTCCCTACTACTCAGTTTCAGCTTGAGTCCTTTAGTAAGCAGAGCAAGAGCAGAATGAAGATAATTCCTGCCAGGAATAATCGGACATAATCCTATTGTTCTTTCTCCATGGTGAAGAGCAAACCCAGTCTTTGTAAAACCAGCCACTCTCTTCCTCTCTAGCTCCTCTCTATTTTTTAATCCTTGGCATTCAAATATTTCTGCAATCTGTTCTATAAACCGAGCAAAGCTTTGAGATTTCAATAATTGAAGAATTAGACTAAAGGCTTCTAGAGAGCAGGGATTATGTCTTGTTCAGCTCTGAAACTCCTTTTGCCATGCATACACATCCAATTTGTTGTCTCAAAGAATATTCCTTTTTAAAATTTTCTTAACCAAAGAAATGAAAAGCCTTCAAGATTTTACTCATTAAGACAATATCAGTCAAATATTTATTCTCATGTTCTCTTTGGACCTTCCTTAATGGGAAGCACAAACCATTGGAAATAATAAAGCTATAATTTGGAAATGATTTCAATGTATTACATTGTCCAATATGTCACTGAAACCTTGTTTTGATCATCAATTTTTATTTAGTATAAATTTAGAGACACTTTTCAATATTACGCATGTCCTTTTATGACATTCCACAAACTTACAATTTAGGAAAGTGAGAATGTAAATAAGGTAATGAAACTGCCAAGACTACTGTTTTAGCTTATTTATTAAAAAATGCCATAAACTTTGGACTTAAAAAAATTGAAACTTATTTCTCCTGATCTGGAGTCAGTGATTTAGGTACCTGGCAGATTCAGGGTCTGGTGAGGGCCTGCTGTCCCACAGTGCCAGATCTACAGGTTCTCACTGTGTCCTCCTGAGGTAGACAGAGCAAGCTAACACCCCTGATGCCCCTGTTACAGGAGCACAATTCCAGATTACATGCGGCAAACATCCTGGACCTAAACACAGGCCTAATGCCCCACCTCCTAGCCCTATCAATTTGGGGTTAAGATTGCAACATCGAGATTAGGGAGGGTGATAACAAATATTCCAACCTGACAGCCACAAATCTAGCAACTGGTAACCATGGATTTCAAATTCAATCTAGCCTGGGGACCATGTCCTTAATGATTACCTACCATTATAATAGAAGTGGATAGAAATCTACACTGAGACTCATCCTATTGTTTTACTAAAGGATGTCTGAAATCTTTTTGTAAGATTTGAACTTTAACCTACACTCCCCCCCCTAGGCGTAGAGGGATAACTTTGTAAGTAGGGTCAGAGGATATAAGCTCAGACTTGGGCATTTACGGAAGGCCATTTGCAGTACCACAATTTTCATCTGAATATATTTGCAAATTGGCTTCATGAGCTTGGTAGGATTCTTATACATGATATAACCCTAATTCCTCATTTATCAGATGAGAAAATGGAATTCTCAGTGGATCTGAAAATAACTCAGAAAAAAACGTGATTGTTATGAACCCTAAAACACGATAAAAGAGAAGACAATGAGTAAGGGAAAGAGGTAAAGGGATTGTAACTGCAAGAGACAGCCTGAAGTGATCTAATTTGATTATCTGGGAAATAGTGAGGCCTCATCACCTTTCCTATGTATTCCTAGAAAATGGTGACCAAAGAGACATTTCCTGTATGAATCTAGTCTGTCTGTCACTACAGTTGTCATGCAACTAAAACCTAGTCTTTGCTACCTTTTTCCCATCTTCTGTCTGCTTTTTGAAAAACCTTTTAAGGAAATAAATATACTTCCTCTATTTTAATAACAACAACAATAAGTAGACAATGAAATGTTCCATTTTCTATCTTGAGATTTGCCAAAAATGTTGGGATCCAGAATAATCTTGAGTTCCATTTAGACATAGAGAGAAGGCTTTTCATGATCCTGCAACATATATTGTCTTTGGAAAGAGTCAGTCCTGCATTTACCTAGAATTTTCATAATTTTAGTAAAGATTGCTTCCATTGGATTTTACTTGAATTTTCCTCCCTTTCTCATTTGGGAATCAAAATCCAAACCAAAGTAACTGCAAGTATCAAGATCTTTACTTCAGTTAAATTCCTATTTTTATCCCCATCAGAGAGTGACATTTTCTATGTGTATGGAGTGATTATTTTAGAAATATATCTTTGAGGTAACAAAGGGCATAGGGCGGGGATAAAGGGCATTTATACTGATGCAAAACATAGAATACCAGCTTGGTATATGCCTATAGAAACATAAAGAAGAGACAAGTCAGGAGTTTTGTTAATTTTCAAAGAGATACATATGGACTTCTATGGAAGTATGACATAATACTATCTTTTCTTTTTATAGTCTTTTCAGTTTCTTCTTGTTTCTTCAACAAAAATCCATGAGACAGGCATAAAAAGATAATATTATCCATCTCATAAAGAAGAAAAATTTATAAGCATTTGCTGGTCATTTCATCTAAGGTCCCCCAGTAAATACACAGCAGATTTCATATTAAACAATGCCCAATATTTCTGAATGTTGCACTGCATCTGCCAGAAGTTCATAGTCGTTATTTCTGAGAGTGTCTACCAGCAAATTGCAATGCTCACTTCCTAAAGCACTGAAACTCAGTCAGAATGTTTGCCCATAATTTATAAGAAATCTTTCTTAAAAGACTCTGGACAAAATGTTAGTCAGCCAATAAACATAAGAACCTATTTTACTCTCCAGGAATGAAATGAGGAATTTAGAGCGTGGTTGGGTTTACTGAATTTTCACAGCAGATCAGCACATTGTTGTTTGTTATCAGCACCCCCGACTCATGTGCTACCCACAGATACATAATGTTCAGTGGTTTTCAATCCAAAAACTCTCAGCCTCGTTTTCTCCTCTACACTCCAGCTCCTTGTGAGGGAAACACAGGGGAAAAAAAAGGAAAGTGAAAAAGGCCACTTGGCTTCAGGACTCTGTCAACAGAACTTCAAATTATAACTGGAGATGACCACAACTTTCTGACCATGTGAATGAGAATGGAATAGGGTTTCTACAGAGCTTCACTTACTCAACAAAGCAACTGGTCTCCCATATAAGTGGATGTATGGGGTGTTCTATGGGGAAGCGGAGGTATTCATGAGATATTCATTGAGATTTGCAATGAGTCACAATGACATGAAGAACTTGCCAAGTTTTTTAGTTCTTTCCTGTTTCTGTTTATGAACACATCATGTCATATTTGCCAAAGCAAAGGGAAGTCTTTGGTGGGTTAATCATCAGGTCTCTCTCTCTCTTTTGTTTTCTTCTCTTCTCTTCTCTTCTCTTCTCTTCTCTTCTCTTCTCTTCTCTTCTCTTCTCTTCTCTTTTCTCTTCTTTTCTTTTCTTGGTCCTGGAGATTGAACTCAAGGTCTTT